AGTAAGAACATTCAGTTGTCGAGCGGACCAAAATAATCTACATGAATCCGCTGCCACGGTTTTTCTGGCCAACTCCAAGGACTCAGAGAAACTGGTGATGTATTTCTTTGAAACCGTTGACATACCTCACATGTCCGGACTAGTCGGTCAATACCTTCATCCATCTTAGGACACCAAATATAATCTCTGGCTAGTGCTTTGATCCTGCAAATTCCTGGATGCGCTGTATGTATCTCTGAGAGTATCTGAGGCCGTAAGTTAGATGGAACAACGATGCGTGAGCCCTAGAATATACATCCATCTTCAAGACTTAGTTCATCCTTTCGCTGAGTGAAACCCGCGACTGGGCCTTTGGTGGTTCGCAGCCATCTGTGACTTAGAAAACGTCTAATTCTAGCCAATGTGATATCCCGTTCGGTCTCTCGACGAATATCCAAAGAGGAGACAGGCCTTTTGTTTACGTGTTCCACTAGGTTCACAAATTACATTGGTTTTGACAAGTATTCTGGCGGATCTGAGAGAGGTAAGCGATTCATACCATCCGCCAATTTATTTAGTGTTCCGGGAATGTATGACAGATTTACTGATTCTTATGACCCAAAATTTTAAACCCTCACTCAGTGCCCCAAGACTGCAAATGAGGCTAGGGGGCAGCTGTTCAGGCTGTGCGCCCCAGTGACATGCAGAAGGCCTGAGGTTTTTGTCCCACTGTATATTGTATATTTTTCGCCCACTGTTGGAGTCTTGTGTCTAGACATGGGTACCGCATTACAGGAGGGGTGTAGCAAGTTTTGAAAGAGTGCAACGCCTAGCCACCCGAACGGTGACTGGGCCAAACGGGAAAAGGTATGGGCAGCGGTTAAGAGATTTTGATCTCTTTTCGCTGGAGCGTAGACGAGTGAGGAGAGATCTGATAGATACTTTTAAAATTGTAAGAGATCTATGGGGACTCAACCTAGATGACTTGTTTACGATTTCTCGTGCTCAGGACACGAGAGGTCATGGCTATAATTTTCAACAAAACCACGCCCTGTTGGAAGTACGATCCAATTTCCTCGCACACAGGGTGATACCTTTGTGGAACAGGTTACCCGCAGAAGTGGTCAACTGCGCCAATGTTAATGCCATCAAGGTGGCCCCGGACGCATGTTGGTCATCAACGTTCCCCGAAGTTAGTGTTTAGAGTTAGAACGTGAAGAATAAATTCCACATTAGCCGAAGTTTTGTGAAAATGAGTAAACTCGGGTTTCATGTTGGAATCGTTATCAAACTGACTGTCCTGTCACATGTGATCTGTGTGTACGAACACATGTGTACTTGAGGTCTCTAACCAATGAGGCGAGGAGATATGCTTGCTTGTTTTCCTCCCTTTCAACATACTCCCAAAGAGTCAACGTTCTGGAAACGGGGCTACATTGATAGGAGCACAAATATCAAATCAACTGTACACAGTATTGGAAGCTACTCTCATTCGCTGACAACACACCTCACTGGACGCTCGATTGGAAAGAGCCATATTCGTTCTGTACAAACTGAACTGAACTGAACTGATCTTATTTCTCTTCCCAAACCCTTTTGGCTTGCCCGAGACCCCGCTGGAGGGATCGACCACGAGGGGAGTGTGCGACGTTGGATAAGCGGTTTGAATCTGCACAAACCGGAATGTCTGGTACTTCCGACGGAGTATAAGGGCTGTCACTCTAAGCGTTTCGCAAGACGAATAACACCAAAGAATACTAACGATAAGCTTTCAAAGCACTGTGAAAAGGCAATGGCAGGTCATCAGTAAAGGAAACTGGATGGTACCTATCCTCATCCGCACGTCGTGGAACCCAACCTGAACTGAAGAATTGTGCTCAAATACAGTCTCGATATTTTTCTCAGTCTTAACACACACACGATAATTTCTAATAAACGCACTCTTTAGATCTATGCATGTACATATCCATTGGACACGTTTTAGTTTTCAAATATTTTTATCCCAACCGCAAGTTATAGGGAAGAGACGTCGACTACGACCGGCCGTGATGCGCTTCAGAACAGGAACACCGAGCTCGTAACACAACCAAGTTATAGCTGGTTAAATTTTGTGGTTTGTAATCACACTAGTGTTTCGTTTACCTATCGGATTCTGCGCACTAAAGGTCCGACCCAGAACTAGGAATCGAAACAAAA